ACTTCTCGGCTGTAAATTTTCCAGAAAATTGCAATCCATTTTCAGCACATGTTCCAGGATTTAATGTTTAAAAATGATATTCTAATATTACTATCCTCATCTTTAAGTATCCCATATAATCCATAGTCACTCTGACTTATTGCTTTGCTATCAACATGTTCAGAGATGTTATTACACACTTCTGGAGCAGGTGGGACGTGAGCCCAGACCTCAAAGTCCGGAGTAGGGACACTACCATTGTGCCACAAGAGACCATTCCACTCTCTCCGAAAGGGTGAACATACTGGGAATCTGCTTAATAAATTCATTCATTTTTCTGCTACGGGACTGAAAGATATGTTCATTTCTCTGTCCAGTCACCTTCAATACTTTAAGAACTTTCTTTGTTTTGTGCGTCAGCAAATTTAGCTGTTTGATATTTTGCTGACCACATTTTCACAATTTGGTTAAAAACCTTCTAAGGACAGAAAGAATCTGCTGCATCCGCTACCAACATTAAAAGTATATTCCCTACTTCCTCGTGAGAAGAAACGTTCATGTAGAGCAAGTTTCCACAAGTCCGATTAGTAGAGGATTCACGATTGAAGCTCAGATAAAGTTTCACTCACTTGGAGATTGTATCAAAGATGCACGGAAGTTTACTGAGCAGGATATAATTTCCTTGTTTTTCCTGGGAAGTCTGGTCCGGGTTGGAGGATCTTGCATTCCAGGGTGAGCAGAAAGCTACTGATTTGAGCTGCAGTGGTTGTTTTCGGCTGGCAGTGAGGAATTAATGGTTGCGGGGTACAATCCTGCTGCTTGTCCCTGTCTCAATGAGCATGGGACCGGTAAGAGAGAATCAGTGATAAGGTTGTTTCCCCGCCTGAAACGTGGTTTACTCCCTATTTCATTAAGGGAGGTGACATTACTGGAACCTTTAATCATATTCCCCAATTAGCAGTATTTAGCCGTAATGTGACCTTTGAGATTAGCTTTCTGAACCGTCAGAGCTGGGAAATAGAGCTAATTGGAGCGGATTCATTTGGGTTTGATTGTGGACAGAACTGTTGAGCAGAAAAGAAAGTACCACCCGGCTGTCTGACGCTGTATTCAGTTAATATTTAACAAAAGTTACTGATTGAATATTTCCTCACTCTTAAGTTTAAATGTGCTTCTCTATGCAGTTGCGCACTTTAAACCGAGTATATCACGGCTGTGACTCAAACGTGATAACCAGTAAACCGTGGAAAGAGCCCACATTGTAATATCTTGTTATTGCCGACAGAGAATCTGGCTGGAACGTTATCGAGAAATCGATCGAACTATGTAATCGCCAGATTATCAGGAAAAAGCCCTTCCTGGTTTGTTTTGAAATCTCTCCATTGCTCCTGATCCAATTGTCTCTGATAACGGGCAAGGACAGGGAATGATTTGAAAATAAGAATGACAACTTTTGACTTAGACTTGCTTGACCGAAGCCAGTGTTGGTCAGTGACCATAGGGGTGACAGGGGATCTGGACTTGTGAGTGAACAGACAGGCAGCAGATTATGGATGATTTGGCTCATAGAGAACCAAGGGACATTGGGTTTTGCTTTCAGTTTGATTTGCGTTAACTAATTGCTGAAAAAAATAGACAGAGCTCTCTCTCTCTTTCTGCTGCTAGTGAAGACTTAGGAAGTTTTGTCTCTTAGAAATAAAACAGGCAGTCTGCTTTTTTTTCTAGTCTTTTCTTCGGCTGGACTGGAGAAAGACAACAACCGAGAATAAAGCTTTTCCTTAAAATGCCAAGATGAGTTTGCACCATATTGCCTGTATTAGAACAGTTGATGATGAGTGAATAACTCATATATTATCTTGGTAAGTATTTCAATAAAGTTAAAATTATACCCGTTCTTCTTTCCATTTGTATTTTAACCACATTGTAAGAATAAAGTCTGCTTTGTTTGAAATCTAGTAACTTTATTCAATCCATTTACATCTGCAACACGCCTTACACTTGTCTTTAAATAAATATTTAAAAATGGGCCTAGGCTAACTTCTTAATGTATATTTATTCTTGGAGGTGTGGGCGGGGCTGTGGGTCTGGTCTAGTCCATAGCGAAAAACATGGTGGAAATTTCAGAGGCCTCGTTTTTGAAGCTGGCCTCATTGAATAGATGCTATCGAGGCTGAGAAACCGGTAGAATGGAATGGAGACATTGTAGGAAGCAGCGTGTTAGGATGTATAGTCCAGTTAACTGTGGGAATCAGTGGGTCTGTAGTGCTTGTCGGTGGCCAGCCAATCCCCAGAAATTGAAATAGAGATGTCAAGGAAGGGGAGAGGGAAAACAGAGTTGGACCAGATGAAGGTGAGAACAGGTGGAAATTTGAAACAAAATTGATAATTGGCTTTCCAATTCCGGGCAAGAGAAGGAAGTGGCACGAACGATGTATTCAATTTATCTGAGAAACCTTTGTGGGGAGGGTTCTGAGTAGGAGTGCGATAGGCTACATACTCTACAAAGAGTCAACTATAACTTAGGCTATACTGGTTCCCATGGCCATACTTTTCATAGAATCCCTGCAGTGTGGAAACAGGCCATTAGGCTCAGCAGGTCCGCACCGCGCTCCGAAGAGCATCCCACACTGACTCATTCCCCTATGGCTAACCCACCTGACCTAAACATCCCTGGACACTATGGGCAATTAATCACTGCCAACCTATCTAGCCTCTGCATCTTTAGACTGTGGGAGGAAACCGGAGCACCCGGAGGAAACCCATGCAGATACCGGGAGAATGTGCAACTCCACACAGACAATCTCCTGAGGGTAGAATTGAACGCGGGTCCTTGGCGCTATGTGGTAGCAGTGCTAAACATTGAGTTACCTTGCTGCCCTTTGAGCTGAAAAAAGTGAGAGGCGTTAATGGAGAAGTTGTTAAAAGTGAGGGCGAGTTTGGGCAAGTGGAGGAGGATAGTGGTGGATGGGAATTCTTCAGGCTGCATCTCAGCTAGTCTTCTTTTACGTCATATCATTGGATCTTCGATAATCTGGGACCTCAATCCTGTGAATGTCTTTTCTTTTCCAATTGAATAAGAAAGGAGGAGATTCAGCAGATCTGTAATAGGCCTCGATCTCCTCGTTTCATTGGTAGTTGTCTCTCTCCACTGCTACGTGGATTGATACGAAATGATACTGCAGCTTAACTACCCAACTCTACTTAAAACTGGCAATTAATTATTTTTATGTGCCCAGGACACATCCAAAATTTGGGTGCCAAAAAGAAACAGACAGATTGTATCTCTCAGTACGGTTTTGAGTTTTATCCCCATTGCACGTACACAAAGGTCTCCATGTCACGCTGCCCACTTTCTCCACAGACTTCTGCATTTGTTATGACATGTTAACCAGGCTCTCTTTCAGTGAGGGTACATGATATTGTGTTACACAGTGTCACAATTTAACTAATGCTCTTTAAGAACCCAATACTTAATCTGTTAAATCTTACCTCTTGTTAACCGAATTTTTAAAAAAATTGACCCTAGGTTACAAAAATCACTAAGATGTGATAGTGTCCGCAATGTAGGAAATGATTTTTAGATTTCTGTCCTTAGCATATACAAAGCGGAACTTCCAAGTTGTCCCTAAACCATTAATTCATTCTCCATGCTTTATGTATGCTACTGACTCAGAATATTGGTACTCATTGCATTTTTATTTTGGTTTCCTGGTGATAATTGTATGTAACATCCTTAATGGCATTATTCGCTATTCTTCTGTCTGATAGGACACCGTGAAATTACCTATTATGTCCATAATTAATGATAGTGTATAAAAAATATCAAAGCTGCTGAATCAAGATTATGAAAATGGTCGTGTAACATGAGAAAAGCAATCAGTTAGTGATTGCATGGTGCAATATTGTCTGTGCTATGCATGACCTGCTGGTGGGTGGGGGTGGGCACAGTGGCTCAGTGGTTAGCACTAGTATCTTACAATTTCAGGAACCCGGGTTCAATTCCACCATCGGGCAACTGTCTGAATGGAGTTTCAACATTCTCCTTTTGTATGCGTCCATTTCCTTTGGGTGCTCCAGTTTCCTCCCACATTCCAAAGATGCGCAGGTTAGATGGACTGACCATGAGAAATTGTCCATTGTGTATAAGTTAGATAGATTACCCATGGGAAATGCAGGGTTAGGGATAGGGCAGTGGGAGTGTATCTGGGTGAAATGCTCTTCGGAGGATCAGTGTGGCCTTAATGGGCCGAATGGCCTGCTTCCACACTGGAGGATTCTATGACCCAGGCGTACTTTCATGAAAGCTGCCAGGCATGTTATCTTCTCTGAATAAAAAGAATGGAATGTTAAATACGTCGCATGAAGAACTGAAGACTAAACCCAAACTGTGAGCTACTGTTAATGGATTAAGGCATTTTTTCAGAAAAAAGAAGTTTCTTTCCATTCTGAACAGTGCCTTGCAAATGTTTATTGCTCATGAAACACCCATTAAACCGATTCTAGTGTGAAGACATCTTTATTCCAGAATCAACAAACAAGTTATTTCAAATTGTACAATTGTAAAGTAAAGACAGCTTGAATTGTCGCAGGATGAAACAGCTGTTGGACTTTGGAATCAAGATCTTCGAAAAATTCTAGACTGTCGAAGAGCAACTCTATCCAACCCTTGCAACGGTCGTAATTAGATACTGAAATTTGGCTGCCTCATCGACAGTAAATCACATGCTACCGCTTTTGGGACAGGAGTTTGTTGGAAAATGTAACAATCAGGTCATTGCGACAGAACGTCATCCTTCAGGAAATTGCAATGTTTCTTTCTCAGGCAGAGGCAGTTCATGTGACAGCAAACATTCTTTTTATATATTGTTTCCAGTACAAGAATATTTCATAAATTCTGTTGCACGAGCACACACGAGCAATCAATTGAAAACAAAACAAAAAAAGAACAAAACCTTTGGTTTCCAACATCTAACGCCAAAAAAGGATACTCAGCGAGATATTGTTGAATGTTTTTCATTTCATTACTTAAGAAAGTTACTCATTAGATTCAGTGGACATCGCAACATATTAATTAATTGCTTCCTGAATTTAGTCTGAGTCACGGCATAAATAAAAGTGTTTGTACAACAGCTCAAAAGCTGAAGCATATTTGCACATTCACGAAAAATGAATTTGGGGTCATGAAAACCATTGATTTTATTGACAGTTGCAAATCGGTCATATATAAAGCGTATAATGTATGTCATCCACAACAAGATGAAAGTGCCAGAGATGGCAAAGAGTAAAACAATGGACTTTCTCCTGCTCTCCATTTCGGGATCATGTTGACTGCATTCCTTTTTGCGGACCATGAGTCTTTTTCGGGATCTATTGACTGCAAGAATGTGCCTGACAGTGAAAACATTGAATAGAAGAATCAGAAGAAACGGCAGACATGGAGTTAAAATACGGTCACACCAATCAAATACTCTCCATGCAACTGAAGTGTAACGTATACCTTTTATTCTACAATACCATGGGACATTGGAAATTGTGTAGATGGGTTCATGAAGAAAATACCATGGGATATTTTTCAAACAACCCAGGACACACACCATTACTATCACGAAAGTTGATATTTTCTCAGTGCAATATTTTATTTTCAGCTTAAGACAACAAATTGCTACAAACCGATCAAAACTGAAAGCGACTGTTAGCCACACAGAACTGTCTCTAGAGGCATAAATCAATGTTGTGCTCATGCTACACATGGGAGTAATGGACAGAAAGCTGCCTGGAAAATAAATACCAGGAATGCGGTTTAATATCACAGCAGTGATAATGACCAGAAGATCTGTAATTGCCATAGATACCAGGTACCGTGTTATACATTTAGAGAGACCACACCTTCCTCTCGAGAGGATCACAATTGCCACTAAATTAACTGTAAGATAAAAGAGACAAATAGCTAAGAATAGATTTCGAGATGTGTTATGCGTGATCTGCATTATATAAACTTTATAGACATTTTAAATAGTCTCATTCACTGGACATTAAAAATAATCCTAATCTTACACAACGATATCACAGCTTTTATGCTTGTAGCATTAGGAAATATACAAATAACTAAGTTGAAATTGGAATAGACTAAATACTACGGACAAATAAAAATAAAATTAACTCCGTACAGACAAGAAAACGCCTTATTAGAAGGTATAGATGGTCTGATTAACAAGTTTGCAGATGACACTAAGATTGGTGGAATAGCAGATAGTGAAGGGGACTGTCGGAGAATGCAGCAGAATATAGATAGATTGGAGAGTTGGGCGGAGAAATGGCAGATGGAGTTCAATCCAGGCAAATGCGAGGTGATGCATTTTGGAAGATCCAATTCAAGTGCGAACTATACGGTAAATGGAAAAGCTCTGGGGAAAATGGATACACAGAGAGACCTGGGTGTTCAGGTCCATTGTACCCTGAAGGTGACAACGCAGGTCGATAGAGTGGTCAAGAAGGCATACGGCATGCTTTCATTCATCGGACGGGGTATTGAGTACAAGAGTTGGCAGGTCATGTTACAGTTGTATAGGACTTGGTTAAACCACATTTGGAAAACTGCGTACAGTTCTGGTCGCCACATTACCAAAAGAATGTGGATGCTTTGGAGAGGGTGCAGGGTAGGTTCTCCAGGATGTTGCCTGGTATGGAGGGTGCTAGCTATGAAGAGAGGTTGAGTAGATTAGGATTATTTACATTAGAAAGACGGAGGTTGAGGGGAGATGTGATTGAGATCTACAAAATCATGAGAGGTATAGACAGGGTGGATAGCAAGAAGCTTTTTTTCCCAGAGTGGGGGACTCAATTACTAGGGGTCACGATTTCAAGGTGAGAGAGGAAAAGGTTAAGGGAGATATGCGTGGAAAGTTCTTTATGCAGAGGGTGGTGGCTGCCTGGTACACGTTGCCAGTGGTAGAGGCGGGACGATAGCGTCATTTAAGATGTATCTAGACAGATACATGAATGGGCAGGGAGCAGAGGGATACAGATCCTTGGAAAATAGGCGACAGGTTTAGATAGAGAATCTGGATCGGCGCAGGCTTGGAGGGCTGAAGGGCCTGTTCCTGTGCTGTAATTTTCTTTGTTTTTTGTTCTTTGTTCTTATTGCAGAAACATCCCAAATGATTTGAAACAATTAATGAATTCACAATGAATTCAGTAAATCATTGATTATTCCACACACAATTTAAGATAAGTTTGAAAACGTGTGCTGCTATGAAACAATGGGAATGATCTCAATATATTAGAAAAAAATGCACTGACAGATCTAGTCATAAATCTGAATGATCAGTTTCTCTGGAAAGATGTTAACAAATGAATCTAGGACTCTCAAAACAAACAAATTAATTAGTATGCAATGAAACAATCGTCAGTCTTACTACAAAATATGCTTAATTTTAGAAATGTCTACCCTCCACAAGCTTCACTGCAGCAACTCACTAAGTCTCCTTAGCTCGTTCCATACCTGAAAATACAGTCAACAAGGAGAGCAAATGCACCAGGTGAATGGGAACCCATTAACTGCAAGATCCCTCTCTAACCACAGAGAATCCTGACTTGAAACTATGCGAGTGTGTGGCCATATTCCTGGAAGACACTCCTGAACATCACTTTGGATGTATCTAAGTGATAGGAAGAGCTAAATATTGCAGTTCACAAACACCTCCTCCAAGGCCATTTAGAAAGAGTAATAAATTGGACTCTATTGAGTGGCACTCAAATTCATGAATTTCTAAAATGCAATTTAAAAATGACGCGCATTTATATCCCTGTATCAGGTGAAATCAATAAGTCATGCAATCATTTTTTCAACCATTTTGAACATCTTTATTGTTTATCTTTCTGAGACATGGCATCTACAGCTAAAGGAAATCTTACAGATGGAGTCTAACCACCAAATTGTACGAGCATAGCATAACCTCTAAATCTCTGTAATATAATCTACAGTACTTTACCTGGGACCGCAATAGCTGCAAGCACTGTGTAAAAAATAGCATAAGCGAGACCTCTTGGCGGTACATGCATTTCTCTCAGAGACAGTGATGTCTGTTTATGATTTTACATGCAATCTCTTTATATCATTTTTAAAAATGTCCATAATTATATTTGATTATAACACACCAGGGTCACAATTAGATGACTTCACAATTAGTTACAGTCATTGAACAAATAGATTTGTTTCTGTTACCATTACTGTTAGGTGCAGTTACTGTACAAAAAAAAACTTAGGCTCTTTTTACAAAATTTTGCTATTAGTAGCCATTGATATGGATATTAAAATCTTCACCAGGCTTGATGTGTTGTTTCACATGTGACAACGTGTTTCAGCAGAGTGCGTGTTGGTTGATTGATGCCTTACGCTAAACATAACTAAAAGGTCATTTCTGCAAATGCCATATTGGGTGATGACTTTCTTCTTAAAAGCTTTATAAACTTATTTTTCCCCACCACAGATGATTCTGTAAATGAAATATTGCAACAATTTCTCCACTTTGGACGTTGAGAATTGCATTTACTTTATTTCTTGATAATGCATTATTCATTGAATCACCACAAACAAGACATACAGAGACAATAGATGCACTGGATGCAAAAACTTACTTTTGACTACATAGCACATATATCTAAAAAAGGATAGCCTGAACTGTGACAACAGGGTGCAGAGCTGGATGAACACAGCAGGCCAAGCAGCATCATAGGAGCAGGAAGGCTGACGTTTTGGGCCTAGACCCTTCATCAGCCTGAACTGTGTTGATAATCTTTGCTGAAAAGGGTTGTCTTGATAATGTAAAAGCAAACTGAGGTCAGGTAGCGCAGTTTACTAGGGAGTTGGTTCATTATGTTAACACGAACAGCTTGGGTGCGATTCCTGCATCAGCTGAATTTGCCATAAAAGGCATTCCATCTTACCCTGCCTCCTCTCTTGAGCTGTGGTGACCTTCAGTTTAAGCCACCACCTGTAGTCTCCTGCCAATTAGAGAGCAGCCCTCTGCTTTGTTTGGGCAACGGCAAAGCTAGCATTCTTAATATTATCATTTGATGCCCTGGCACTGTCAGTGAGTCTATTTGTGAGTGACGTGCACCCTTGGTGCTGTGGCAGAAATACATATGCTGGAAATCTTCAACAGGTAGCAACAACCATGGAAGAAAGAAAAATATTGCTTCAAGTTGAAAGTCTTTCAGAAGCAGAGGGCAGTAAATGCATTTTTTTTTCTTAAATAAGCACAATTATTGTCCAGGTAGATGGACAGATCAGTCGATAGACAGGTAGATGTGTATACAAATAGGTAGATGGATAGATGTGGAGATGGATGGATTTGAGGGGCGGGATTGTTTTGACTTAAATGTTCTGTTGCACTGTTATTGCAATCGTGAGGACGCCTTTGGGCAGAAACAACCATTGCAATGACTAGACATTACAATAGACATCAAAGCCAAAATAATAAACCCATAACAGCAGCTTCTAACTTCACTTATGACACTGGTGGTAAAAACATAACAGTCCGTAAGTTCAATTTTTTGAAGAGTTGATCATATAAAGGCACTTCATCTCAAATGGATTTGATTGTCTTCCAATACTTGTAGTTTGATGATTGTGTTTGACTGTGAAATTGGCTTAGAGAGAATGTTCTTCAGATAGCTACATAATAAACAGAGAAAGAGACAGACAGAGAGAGAGAGACTGGTAGGGTGGCATCCTGTATTAAATTTGAAGAAAACCAGACTTCAACTTGAAATCATATTTGATTCATTGAGGGGCTCTAAAATATTCAAGTTTGAGAAAGAATAATCCACATTGCCTTTAAGGTGATCCAAGAGGCCTATAAATTCTCATATTAAAGTTCTCATGATGGCCACACTGAACACTGGCAAAATCCTCTTAAAAGTCATGAACAATAATACATTACCAGGATAAACTTATTTTGCTCAAATGCTAACATTAACATACTGATAATTAGCCGAGTCCATTTTCAAATAATTGCATTCTAAAAGGTGGGACCATCAGTAGAAGGTAATGAGGTAGAACACTTGAGGTTGTTGACTTACTTGCCAAGCTGGCTTGTTTTCGTTCAGACATTTCATCACCATGCTAGGTAACATCATCAGTGCAACCTCGGATGAAGCGATATTGTTTTACTCCGCTGGGAGTTTAAAATGCCTGGTCTGTTATGGTAAGTAGTGCCATTTCTGGTTTTGTTCTGTATGGATTTGTATATGGGGCCCAATTCTATACATTTGTTGATTGCATTGTAGGTTGAGAACCATGCCTCAAGGAATTTCCATGCATGTCTATATTTGGCTTGGGCTACTACAGTTACGTTGACCTATTGGGTGTGCCATTGTCATTGATGATGGAGCTGCTGGTCTACGTTCCTGCTACCTCTAGTAATATGGCCAGTGTTTCTTTGGCTACTGGGATGTCAATTGACGTGAATAATGCTGTCAAATGTCATTATTAAACTCACCAAACTAAAAGAGACCCACCACCTCATCAAATTCACCATTGAAGAAGAAAACAATAATCAGCTTCTGTTTCTGGACATCAGAGTTGAAGATATGACTGACAGGTCTCCCAAAACTCAGTATACAGAAAAGCAACGCACACTGACAAATCCTCTACTTCCACAGCAACGACCCCAATGTCCACAAACAAAGCTGTATTAAGACATTATCTAAATAGGCCACCACTCTTTGCAACAGTCCAGAACTACACAGAAAAGAAGAAGAGCACCTATACAAAATCTCCGCTATGAACAGATATCCCACAACTTAATCCACAGGTGCCAACAACAAGAAGACATAGTACGCC